TCTAGCTTTTGCAACCGCAGCAAAGTCCAAGAGAATCAGCGGCCCCGTGGCCCTTAGCCAACCTCTGTGACCCCAGCAACCCTCTGCAGCCGGCCCAGAGGAAGGACCTAGCCTGCAGCCGGCCGGATGTTCAACACTGCGAGCTTGGCAGCATCCTCCTCCATGCCCTCTTGGCACCATCAGCTGCTGTGCAGGAGGGGGGTCCGGACTCCCCTCCCCGGTCCACTTCAAAACCTTGCCGGCCTCTGGTGGGCAGAGGCCAGGGGGAGCTACTTCCAGAAAAGCACGTTCCAGAAGAGCAGCCAGCAAGGGTAGACGAAGATGGCCACAAAGGGAAAGACGATGGAGCCGTAGAGGTAGTGGTCCAGCAGCCCCTCTGCAATCACCTGGAGGAACTGCTGCCAGCCCTCCAGGGGCGAAATGGGGTACTCCATCAGCTCTTGGTACAGGAAGATGCAGAGGAGGAGGGTGATGGCTGGGGAGACCAGCAGCAGCAGCCCCGCATAGAGGTACCTGCAGGGGAGAGGGGGCTTCTGATCACATCCCCCTGGCCAAGACCTGTGCCCACCCCCCAGTGGCTTTTCCTCCCTCCCGCTGGGCACCTGCAGGCTCCCTGCTGGCCTGGGCCAGAGATGCAGGGCGAAGCCTCCTCAGGTGTTCTACCTGCGCTGCTTAAGGCGGCTGAGTGGTTGGGATGGAGTTGCTTGCCAGCTTTCCAGGCTTAAATCGGAGGGCGGGGAGGGGAGGGAGAAACATGGCCTGCCTGGCACTCCCCCTCCCTGCCCCAAGATGCATCGTCACTCTTTCCCACTAATTTCTTAAAGAAACTGCAATCTAACCAGGGTGCAAAAGTCCAGAAGGTTTCACCCATAAATTAGCAATCCTTTAATCCAGGAATCAGTAAGAGCAGAAACGGGCCATCTGGCTTGGCTACTGATGTTACCAACTGGCCTAGTCATTCTGCGCTAAGCTTTGGGGCGGGGGCGAGGGAGGGATTCATGCTTGTGAAAACGTTGGCTTCCTTCACGGCAGTCTTCGGTGCACAGAGACGGTTTCAGGCCTGGGGCACCGGATACAGAGAATGGCCCTGAGTTCAAAAGTTCTCCTTCCTCTCTGGAGAGAATCACCCCCCACCCCCTGCTGCCTCAGAGCTGGCCCTGCAGCGCTGCTGTCCCTGCCCTGGGACATACCTGGGCCCCGTGGGCTGCACAATCGCCGCCACGGGCGCCATGGTGACTGTCAGCAGGAAGCCCAAGGAGAAATTGATGAGCGCGACGCAGCTCAGCTGCATGGCCAGGTAGAGCAGCGCAAACAGCTTCAGCATCATCCAGCCCTGGTTGCTCCCGGAGCCCATCAGGACTCTGCAAGGCAGGAGCCCAGGTCAGTGTGGGCAGAGTCCTCCGGCCCCCGCCTTCCCGCCCCACCGTTACCTGTGCGTGTTGTGGGGCAAGGCCAGTCCGGCCACATAGATCCCAATGCTGGTGAGCACCACGGCCTCCGCCTCAGAGACCGGGAAGTGTTCAGTGGCCACCTGCTGCCCCCAGACTGGCACGAAGTAGAGCGCGAGGCCAGTGGCGTGGCAGATGAGCAGCGGGGGGACCAGGGTCAGCAAGCTGGGCCTTGGATCCTGTCCCAAAAAGGATGGGAGCAGCTCAGGGAGTGTCCTGCTCCACCCCCAAAGCATGGAAACGGCCGAGCCAGAGCCGGCCAGGCATGTCCTCCCCTCCCTGAGGCTGGGGAGTTCGACAGCAGGCTGAGCACAGGGCCCAACTCAATCCCCAAAGAGAGAGAGAGGTCTACCACAAGCACAACACCCCCCTTCTCCAGGGACCAGGGCTACCGTTTCCTGTTGCAACCCACCTCCACGGGAGCAGGATTCGAAGCCTGGTCCCCATCGCAGAGCTGGCTCCCGTCGCCATCAAAGCTGCTCAGCTTCATCCACAGGTCCAGAGCGTTGAAGGGGAGTCCAGGAAAACAGGACTGACATAAGCATGCCCCAAACACCGACACCCGGACTGCACCCCCATGGCATTCTAGGGACAAGAGCTGCTGACCGCAGCTTCTGGGTAGAGGCGACCCCCAGCCTTGGGCCGCTCTCTCAGGCCAGAGGGCCCATCGCCTACTGAGGAAGCCAAGGCCCTGCAACGGGATGGGACCTCCATCTTCCATCCCCCAGTGGCCCCAAACCCTGCTTGCTCGGCACATGGCCCTGGAGGCTCAGGGTCCCTGCGCACGTCTCCAGCATCCCACTTTCCTCGGGGGAGGGGCATCAGAGGCTCTGGAAGCAGGAGCCCCCCCCCAGCCACCCTCCCCGAAGCGGACATGCCCCCGTCTCAGGCCTCCCGGTGAGCAGGGCCGCCCGCTGGCTTGGCCAGGCGCCTCCGCTGGAGCAGGATATCCTGAGGACCAGGATGAGGAGGAGGAAGCCGAAGGCCGGCATGTAGAGCCCGATGGAGACGAAGCGGGAGAGTGAAGGCAGCAGGTAGAAGAAGTAGGACTGGTGCAGCCGCTCCAGCAGGTTGTTCAGCTTCCGGAAGATGCCCTCGAAGGTCCTGGGGGAAGAGCGGAAAGAGCCTTGAGGCCTCGGGTCCCAGAGGGGGGTGCCCAGCATCCCCCCGGCCTCTCCTCGGACCTCAGCCCGCTCCGGCACTCACACGCCCATTGCGCCCATGTCGAACTTGTACTGGCGGAAGCTGTTGATGCCGCGGATGGTGATGGCCTCAATGTGGTAGCGGAGGAAGAGGCCGTGGTCCCCCTGCGGGTGGCCGGAGCCCTGCTTGAGCACCATCAGCAGCAGCGTTTGGAGGGAGTGCAGGAAGGCCGGGAGGGAGTCCCAGTCGGAGCGCTGCAGCTGCAGGAGGGGCAGCAGAGAAGGCCCTCAGCAGGGCAGGCACGGTCTGGATGATGCCCTGGTTGCTCCCAAGAGCTCGGGCGAAGGACTCTTGCGGCAAGGGAGGGACACCACCACTCCCACCCCGACCGGGGAGGGATCCTGCTGACAGACCGACCACATGCCTGCTCCACCAGTGGCCGAGTCTGGCGCAAGGCACCTCCTCCGGCCTGGCTGGGCTGATGGCCAAGAAGGTCTCCCCTCTGGGCAGCCTCCAAACCGGCCCAGGACACACGAGTTCTTCCGCGCACCTTGCCCTGGATGGTGCACAGCAGCCCGTTCTTCTGGCAGAAGGAGTAGAAGAGGTTGACCAGATCCAGGTTGGGCAGCTGCCCGTTCAGCCCCTCCACGGCCACGTCAAAGCTGGTGATGACGTCGCTGCTCAGCTCCAGAGAGATGGCCGCCTGGATGGCTCCTGCTCGGCCGAACGTCCCCGAGGACTGCGTGTCTGCAGAGGATACAGCGGCTGCGTGGGTGCCTCCCTGAGAGAGGGGGGCCGGGCGGTGGGAATTCCTAGTGGCTACATTCGGAAGCTCTGTGAGAGGCTCTGCCAAAAGCCAGGATCGGGTTTCCCGAAGCTGCCAAAGGGCCCAATCCCTGCCCTGATTTTCTAAAAAAAGGTTAAAAGTTCTGCTCGTTTTAAGAGAAGCGTTTGCTAACAGCCGGATGGGTCCTACCCGATGTGGGGAGCAGCAGACCCAATAGGAGAGGCATGGGGGGGGGGCTGGGGGCCCTGGAGCAGAGCCAGGGAGGGCAGGGGGGAACCGAGGCTCCCACCCCTCCAAGCACCCGGATGACCCCCCACCTGTGACGTTGACATCGTGGTAAGCCTCTAGCCAGGCCTCCATGCCGATCAGGTCGTGCTCGTTGACCAGGAAGATGATGTCCTTGGCCCAGTAGATCTGGCCTGGGAGGGAAGGGCAGCTCAGCACCGGCCATCCTCTCCCTCCCTTGCCCCCTCCCCTGCTGCGGGCCTGGCCCAACTCACCGCGGAAATGCGCGGCCAGGGCCAGCATCAGCCCCACCGCCTGGCTATTCCGCTGCTGCCCGGCACTGCAGGGCACGCTCAGCACCAGCGACTCGGTGCTGGCCGCGCGCGGGGCCCGCAGGATCCCGTACACGTTGGTCCCCTTCACCATCTGCGCGGGGAGAGGAGAGGGGAGGAGGGAGCCGCCTGGGCGTCGCTGTCCCCTCCCGACCTGCCCCCCCCTCCCCGGCCGAGCCCCGGACGTACGTATCTCTCGCGTGCCTCGTCCGGGAAGGGCAGCGTCCGGGAGAAGCTCTGCGCGTAGACCTCCAGGCCCAGGCCCCGCAGGCTCTTCTCCAGCCAGGCCACCGGCAGCGCCCTGCGGGGAGAGGGGCGTTGGTCGCCGCGGCACCCGCCCCCGCCGCCCCGCTCCCGCGCCCGCCCCGGCGCCCCGACTCACCCGGCGGCCTTCTTGCGCTGGGCGGCGAACTCGCGGGCGAGGGCCAGGGCGCGGTCCCCGCGGGCGAAGCGCTCCTCCACCATGGTGGAGCCCATGGCGTTCTCCGACATGGAGGCGCGCGGCGCCAGCGGCTGGAAGGCCAGGCCCAGGAACCAGCCCAAGCCGGCCACGAAGCTCAGCGCGCTGCGGACGAGAGCGGGAGGAGAGCGGCTCAGCCGGGCGGCGGACGGAACCCCACCCCCCAGCCGCCCCTACCCACCAGAGCGGCGCCTGGAGGCGCAGCAGCAGCCGGGAGATCGCGCGGCGCCAGTGCGGGTCGGAGAGGAGCCCCATTGCGCCCGGCCGGCAGAGGCGGTTGGAGGCGCCTCCCCGGAAGACGCGCACGCTCCGTCCGGCGTCGGGGAGGAGCAGTCCCGAGCGCGCAGCCGGCGCCTCCCCGCGTTCGCGCCCGGATTGCACCGCTGGAGGCCCGGGGCTGCTCCGGGACCCGCCGAGTCGCGCCCGGCGCCGAGAACGGCCCGAAGGCGGCTGGAGCTCTTCCAAAAGGCCGCGCGGAAATCACAGCAGCCCGAAGCCCTCTGGACCAGCCGCGGCCGCCGCTCCGGCTGCGAGAGTCCCGGGCCGCGGCTCCCTCGCCCTTCTTGGCCCGCCCGGGTTTCTAAGAGACTTCACGGGCGCAATTGTTCATTCCAGACGTTTATTTGGAAGACGCGTGTTCGGGACAGGCATACAAAGCCCCAGCCGGGGCGAAGCGGTCCGAGTAAAGGCGGCGGGGCGGGCCGCAGTCCAAGGGAGCCCCTCGGGTTCAGTTCCCCGGGAGAGCCGCCCCTTCGCGCAGGTGCTCCCGCACCACCCGGTCCAGCACGGCGTGGACGTCCCGGCAGGCCTTGCTGGCGGCTTCGGTGAGGCGCTCCAGGTGGTCCTCGTGCAGCCGGCCGTTCAGCTCCAGCAGGGCGATCTGGTCGGCCTTGGGCAGCAGCGCCAGCGCCAGCTGCGGGCCCCCGGCCGCCTCCTCGATGTAGTTCAGGTCGGCCAGCGGGCTGTCCTCCACGAAGCCCGCGGAACTGGCGCAGACGTAGTCGCGCAGCGGGATCCCGGCGTCGATCACCGCGAGGGTGGCGGCGTTCACCGAGGCGCAGTAGTTCCCGCCGTCCGCCTGCAAGATCTGAAGGCGGCCGAGCGGCGGTGAGCGCCCCGAGCCGCCCGCGGCGCCCTCCCCCGCCGCGCCGGCCCCGGAGCCCCACCTGCACGTAGACGTCGATCTGGGAGCGCGGGAAGAGCTGCGTGAGGATGGCGGCCTCGAAGGTCTGCTTCAGGTGCAGCGTCATCTCGCTGGACTTGCGGTCGCCGTGGGGCCGCCGCTTGCGCTCGCCCGTGCTGAAGGTGGCCATGCTGAACTGGCAGTTGACCAGCGCCTGGTCCGGCGGCGCCTTGCTCCGGGAGCCGCGCGTCTGCGGGGGAGTCGGGAGAGCGGCGGGCAGACGGAGGGAGAAAGAGAGGGGAGGGAGGGAGGGGACCGCCTGAGCCCCCCAACCCGGCTCGGCGGGCAGGCGGGCGGGCAAGCGCGCGCGCGCTGCGGAGAGCCCTTACCTCGTGGGGCCCGTAGACGACGGCCAGCGCCTTGGTGTTGCCCTGCTCCAGGTAGGCGGAGCCGTCGGCTTGCGCGAAGACGCCCATGCGGGCGCGGATCTGCCGGAGCTCGCCGGCGCGCCGCCCGTCCACGCGGTAGCCCTGCTCCGACAGCAGCTCCAGCCCCGCCATTCCCGCCCGGCGCTTCCCGGCCTGCCCCGCGCCCCGACGGGAGGGGCCCGGCAGGCGCCGCCCCCTGGCTGTCCGCGCGCGCAGGAGGAGCGCCCGCCCGCCCCAGCAGCCGGACGGTCGTTGGGGCGAACGGCGCTCCCGGGGGGGGGCTGCGCGGGGCGGCCCGAGAAACGGGAGAGGGCGGAGGCGGAGAGGCGGGCTGTCTCCGACGGGGCGGCGATTGGGGCGGAGGGCAGCGCCCGGATCGGTGCGCTCGTGCCCCGTCCGGCCGTTCTGCCTCCCGAGAAGCCGACGGGAAGGAGCGCGGAGAGTTGCCCAGCGCCCCGCTCGCCCCCTTCGCCGACAGCCGCCATGGCTCCCCCGCAGCCGGACAAGTTCCAGTTCGCCATCGATCGCGGCGGCACTTTCACCGACGTCTTCGCCCGCTGCCCCCGCGGGAAGGTCCGCGTGATGAAGCTGCTCTCCGAGGACCCGGCCAACTACCGCGACGCTCCCACCGAGGGCATCCGCCGCATCCTGGAGGAGGTCAGTCCGGCTCGCCTCGACGAGCGATCAAAGCGGGCCCGGCGCTCCTCGGAACCTCCCGTCCCCTGGCGCCGCCGCCACCGGACCGACCCTGGCTTTGGAGCAGCCGGTGGCTCGGATGCTTCCCTGAGGGTGGAGGGCGAAGGTCTGGGAGTTGCGGGTCTCTGCCTCCGGCTCGCTCCCTCTTGCTGCAGGCCAGACCTGCCGAGGAGGCCAAGGGCAGAACATGCTTCTACTCCCCGGGATTGAGGCACCGATCCTGGGAGCTGGCACTCCTCTGATGCTTGTGGGGGAGGCCCCAGAGGAAGCAGCTGGCTGAAGTCCAGCCCTCCCCCCCCCACAGGAGTGCGGGGTCCCCTTCCCCAAAGACCAGCCCCTGGACACCAGGCGCATCGAGTGGATCCGGATGGGCACCACGGTGGCCACCAATGCCCTCCTGGAGCGGAAGGGCGAGCGCTTCGCCCTGCTGATCACCAAGGGCTTCCGGGACCTGCTCTACATCGGGAACCAGGCGCGGCCCAGCATTTTTGACCTGGTCAGTGCTCTGCAAAGAGGTCCCACCCCCACGTAGCAACCCCTCCCCCGCTCTGCTGTGCCTTGCGCAGGAGGGCTGATCCCCGTGCCTGCTGGTGCCACCTTCCCTGAGCAGCCCGGAGGAGAGCAGCAGCTTGGCTGCACCTGGGACTGGCAGTGGTAGCCAGGTGGGGCATGGGTTGGCTGGGAGCCCCTGCCCCCTCCTGGGTGTGCCTAGGACTCAAGGCGTGAGCAGCTCTGCTCCCACACCAACCCCTCTGCGCTCCCCGGGCCTTCTTGGGCCAATGAGGCCAGTGGCTGACCAGGACTGAGAGTGCCACCCTCCCCTACCAGCCCGGCCTTCCTGCCTCTAGTCCCTGTCTGGCAGTCCTGGGGGGGGGGTTTCTGCCCTGAAGGCTCCCACTCCTCTGCTGGCCTAAGGCTGCCCCCTCTCTGGCCACCCCCCTCTGCAAAGAGTTGGGCCCCCCAAGAGTCCTGCTCCTCCTGGATTCAGGCAAGGGCTACAGCAGAACAGCTGCAGGCACCAAGTGCGTCCCAGATGTGCTTGGCCTCCTTTGGGTCTGCCCCACCTGTGCCCGAAGGGGAACAGCTGGGTGCAGCCACCCCACTAAGGCACTGCCGAAAGGGGCTGTTGAAGCTGGGGGCCCGCCTGATCCTCGGGTTCTCTGCCCCTTCGCCTGCCTTCTGGGTCCCTTTGGGCCTGACCCTTGTCTTGGCACGGGCTCTCTCTTGTCCTTCCTGCTCTGCCCCCCCCCCAAATGGGCAGACCCATCCCTGAAGCCTGCTCTCCCCACGGGCCCCCTGCCCTGTCTCCCCAAGGAGGTCCGAATGCCAGAGGTCTTGTACGAGGCGGTGGTCGAGGTGGACGAGCGCCTGGTGCTCCATCAGGATGGCTGCCAGGTCTTTGATTCCGGTCAGCGGGTGACAGGTGAGAGCTGCAGCCAGGCATGGGGGGGGGAGAAGACCTGGATGGAGCCTCTGGAGTGCAGATGTGGATCCTTCCCCCCCCCCAGGCCTGACCGGGGAGGCGGTGGTGGTGAAGCAGCCTGTAAACCTCGTTGCCCTGCGAGTGGAGCTGGAGGCGCTGATGGCACGGGGCATCCGCAGTCTGGCCGTGGTCCTGCTGCACTCCTACCTGTGAGTTCCTCAGGTTGAGAGGGGTCTTGACCCTGAAGGGCAGCCCCCAGCAGGGAGACCGGGGGGGCGTAGAAGTCATGGAAGGCAGATGTAAAAACATAGGCAACACATCTGGACTGCTGGCAGCCAAGAGAGAAGGCAGCCGGAGGGGGCAACCTCTCCGTGCCAAGGGCTGTGTTGGGCAGCTGGGCATAGACAGGGATCACACAAACTAGGCAGGAGGTCGATTGGGACAGATTTATGGATCTCGTTCTTTTGGGGGCTTCTATAGCCACTGTGTGCTGGTTTATAGCCGAAAGGGCTGGAAGCTGGTAAGGGCTGGGGGAGGGAGGCACTTGCAGCTGCTGAACTGAGAGTCCTCAGCTCTCCTTCACTGCCCAGATCTCCCTTCGGTGGATGGGATGGACCCCCTGAGCACCCCACATGGCAAGGGGCACCCTTCCCCGCTCGGTCCATGCCTACTGGCCCAGAGTGGAGGGACCTGGTCGCTGGAGGCCTCCGGGGTTCAGCCTGGGGTGTCTCCCACAGGTGGCCCAGCCATGAGCAGCAGGTGGGTGCCCTGGCGCGGGAGCTGGGCTTCCAGCAGGTCTCGCTCTCCTCCGAGGTGATGCCCATGGTGCGCCTGGTGCCCCGTGGCTACACAGCCTGTGTAGACGCCTACCTGACCCCCTGCATCCTCCGCTACCTGCACAGCTTCCGGGATGGCTTTGCTTCACAGCTCCAGGTGAGGAAGAGGAGGAGAGGGGGGGCAGGGGGCCCTTGGCCTGAGAGGGTCTCTCTCCAGGGATGGCAGCCTGCCTAAGCGGCCCAGGCTCTGCTCGCTCTCCTGCACTCCTTTTGCGCAACCCAGATTGTCGTGTTAAGGCAGAAGATTGTGCGCGTTACTCAAGTGCAGTAACTGAGCTTTGGGAACCTACGCAGGATGCGTCTCACACTGGCGTGCTGCCACACACAGACCTGAGAGTTGAGCATTAAATGTGCAGCAGTTGCGTCTGGGCTGCTCTCTGGCCTCTGGCCGAGCGGTAGGGCGAGAGGTCCCTCTCTGGCGCCAACCGAGCATGCCTGATGTTCCCGTTCAGCACATTAATAAGTAGCCCATAAATGCTTGAGGAGGGAGTCCGGCTTCTCTGCCGGCTGCTCATTGGTGAGGCTTGTGCACCTCCTCTCGGTCCAGGCAGGACAGGGCCCCACTTGCGCTTTGGGGGGGGGGGTCCACCGGCCGTCAAAGCCAAGGAGGGCGTGGCAAGAGGTGCTTCCTTGGGGCTCAGGGATTGCTGGGGATCTGAGGTTTGTAGCACACTGGGCTTTTGAAAGGCCCCCCAGGATCTGGTGAAGCAGCTGGCCAACCATCTCCTCCTCGGCTCCTCCGGCCTTGCCCCCTCTCCCTCCCCACAGGGCGTGCCGGTCGCCTTCATGCGTTCGGACGGTGGCCTGACTCCGATGGAGGCCTTCAGTGGTTCTCGGGCCATCCTCTCGGGCCCCGCTGGTGGAGTCGTGGGCTACGCAGTCACTAGCTACTCCGGCATGGAAGGGCATCCGGTCATTGGCTTCGACATGGGAGGTGAGTGGCGGAAGTGGAGGGGCTCCGCGGCCCCTTGCAGAGCAGGGGGAGGGAGGCAGGCTGACCGGGTCCTCTTGCAGGGACCTCCACCGATGTGAGCCGCTACGCCGGAGAGTATGAGCACGTCTTTGAGGCCACCACAGCCGGCATCAGCATCCAGGTGCCACAGCTAGACATCAACACAGTGGCCGCCGGAGGTGGCTCCCGCCTCTTCTTCAGGTGAGCCTCCTGCCTCGAGTCGCCCCTCCAGCCCTGGGGGGGGGCGATCCCTGAGCTGCAGACGATTCGCCCTCCGTCTTCCTTTGAGCAGGGACAGGTTAAGGGCAGCCTCTGGCCCTGCAAGGACCGACTGGGCACCTGCTGCCTCCCGGACCCTTCAGCCCCTCTGAGTTTGGGGAGGGAGACCCTAACCCTGATGCCAGCTGCTCTTCCAAATTCTCAGGTCCGGGCTCTTCGTGGTGGGCCCCGAGTCCGCAGGAGCGCACCCCGGCCCCGCCTGCTACAGGAAGGGTGAGGGAGCTGCGTGGCGTCATTCTGGGCGGGGGAGGGCCAGGGAGGAGACGGGCAGCTGGTCGCTGATGGACACCCGTCTTGTCCTTTCTCGCAGGGGGGCCACTGACCGTGACGGACGCCAACCTCTGCCTGGGCCGCCTCCTGCCCAGCCACTTTCCCCACATTTTTGGGCCCAACGAGAACCAGCCGCTCTCTCACCCAGCCTCCCTGCAGGCCTTCCGGGCGCTGGCGGCTGAGCTGAGGACCTCTGGGGAAGCCTGGCCTGACCTCAGCGTTGAGGAGATGGCCATGGGCTTCATCCAGGTGGCCAACGAGGCCATGTGCAGGCCCATTCGGGCGCTGACGCAGGTACTGGCTGCTCATCGGCCCCATCCTTGCTCTGGGTTCCTCCAAAAGGTCTCACTTCCTCCAGCCCCCTCATGGGGAGAGGATTCCCTGGAAAAAGCGACGAGGCCTGGAAGAGCCAGAGGCAAAAGGACCCCAGGCCGCCAAAGAAGACTGGGTGGCCTACAGGGGGGCCCTCACGGGGGCGCAGAGGGGGGCTGACTGTGACCGTGATTCAGGTGGGCAGAGGCGGCCCCTTTGCGCAGCGACCCTCCACTCTGGAAGCTGCAGAAGGGTGGAAGAGCGCTGGGAGCTAATGGCTGACCTGAACTGGCTTTGAAAGCGGCACCGGAGGGGTGGGGGGGTGCTGAGCCTGGCCCTGCCCTCTGTCCTCTCCCCCCCCCAGTAGGGTCTGCCCCCAACAGTGCCGTTCCTCCCTCTGGACAGGCCCGGGGCCACGACACCTCTCGCCACGTGCTGGCCTGCTTCGGAGGGGCCGGGGGCCAGCACGCCTGCGCCATCGCCCGGGCGCTGGGCATGAGGAAGGTCTTCATCCA